GTGTGTTGTTTGCAGGGATGATGTGTGTGTTGTTGTTTGCACGGATGACATGTGTGTTGTTTGCAGGGATGATGTGTGTGTTGTTGTTTGCAGGGATAACGTGTGTGTTGTTGTTTGCAGGGATGATGTGTGTGTTGTTGTTTGCAGGGATGACATGTGTGTTGTTTGCAGGGATGAGATGTGTGTTGTTGTTTGCAGGGATAACGTGTGTGTTGTTGTTTGCAGGGATGATGTGTGTGTTGTTTGCAGGGATGACGTGTGTGTTGTTGTTTGCAGGGATGATGTGTGTGTTGTTTGCAGGGATGACGTGTGTGTTGTTGTTTGCAGGGATGACGTGTGTGTTGTTTGCAGGGATGATGTGTGTGTTGTTGTTTGCACGGATGACATGTGTGTTGTTTGCAGGGATGATGTGTGTGTTGTTGTTTGCAGGGATAACGTGTGTGTTGTTGTTTGCAGGGATGATGTGTGTGTTGTTGTTTGCAGGGATGACATGTGTGTTGTTTGCAGGGATGAGATGTGTGTTGTTGTTTGCAGGGATAACGTGTGTGTTGTTGTTTGCAGGGATGATGTGTGTGTTGTTGTTTGCAGGGATGACGTGTGTGTTGTTTGCAGGGATGAGATGTGTGTTGTTGTTTGCAAGGATGACATGTGTGTTGTTTGCAGGGATGATGTGTGTGTTGTTGTTTGCAGGGATAACGTGTGTGTTGTTGTTTGCAGGGATGATGTGTGTGTTGTTGTTTGCAGGGATGACATGTGTGTTGTTTGCAGGGATGAGATGTGTGTTGTTGTTTGCAGGGATGACGTGTGTGTTGTTTGCAGGGATGAGATGTGTGTTGTTGTTTGCAAGGATGACATGTGTGTTGTTTGCAGGGATGATGTGTGTGTTGTTGTTTGCAGGGATAACGTGTGTGTTGTTGTTTGCAGGGATGATGTGTGTGTTGTTGTTTGCAGGGATGACATGTGTGTTGTTTGCAGGGATGAGATGTGTGTTGTTGTTTGCAGGGATGATGTGTGTGTTGTTTGCAGGGATGATGTGTGTGTTGTTGTTTGCAGGGATGACATGTGTGTTGTTTGCAGGGATGATGTGTGTGTTGTTGTTTGCAGGGATGATGTGTGTGTTGTTGTTTGCAGGGATGATGTGTGTGTTGTTGTTTGCAGGGATGACGTGTGTGTTGTTGTTTGCAGGGATGATGTGTGTGTTGTTTGCAGGGATGAGATGTGTGTTGTTGTTTGCAGGGATGACGTGTGTGTTGTTGTTTGCAGGGATGACGTGTGTGTTGTTGTTTGCAGGGATGATGTGTGTGTTGTTTGCAGGGATGATGTGTGTGTTGTTGTTTGCAGGGATGACATGTGTGTTGTTTGCAGGGATGACGTGTGTGTTGTTTGCAGGGATGATGTGTGTGTTGTTGTTTGCAGGGATGACATGTGTGTTGTTTGCAGGGATGATGTGTGTGTTGTTGTTTGCAGGGATAACGTGTGTGTTGTTGTTTGCAGGGATGATGTGTGTGTTGTTGTTTGCAGGGATGACGTGTGTGTTGTTTGCAGGGATGATGTGTGTGTTGTTGTTTGCACGGATGACATGTGTGTTGTTTGCAGGGATGATGTGTGTGTTGTTGTTTGCAGGGATAACGTGTGTGTTGTTGTTTGCAGGGATGATGTGTGTGTTGTTGTTTGCAGGGATGACATGTGTGTTGTTTGCAGGGATGAGATGTGTGTTGTTGTTTGCAGGGATAACGTGTGTGTTGTTGTTTGCAGGGATGATGTGTGTGTTGTTGTTTGCAGGGATGACGTGTGTGTTGTTTGCAGGGATGAGATGTGTGTTGTTGTTTGCAAGGATGACATGTGTGTTGTTTGCAGGGATGATGTGTGTGTTGTTGTTTGCAGGGATAACGTGTGTGTTGTTGTTTGCAGGGATGACGTGTGTGTTGTTTTTTGCAGGGATGACATGTGTGTTGTTGTTTGCAGGGATGACATGTGTGTTGTTTGCAGGGATGACATGTGTGTTGTTGTTTGCAGGGATGACATGTGTGTTGTTTGCAGGGATGACATGTGTGTTGTTGTTTGCAGGGATGATGTGTGTGTTGTTGTTTGCAGGGATGACATGTGTGTTGTTGTTTGCAGGGATGATGTGTGTGTTGTTGTTTGCAGGGATGATGTGTGTGTTGTTGTTTGCAGGGATGATGTGTGTGTTGTTGTTTGCAGGGATGACATGTGTGTTGTTTGCAGGGATGATGTGTGTGTTGTTTGCAGGGATGACGTGTGTGTTGTTGTTTGCAGGGATGACATGTGTGTTGTTGTTTGCAGGGATGACATGTGTGTTGTTTGCAGGGATGATGTGTGTGTTGTTTGCAGGGATGACGTTTGTGTTGTTGTTTGCAGGGATGATGTGTGTGTTGTTTGCAGGGATGACATGTGTGTTGTTGTTTGCAGGGATGATGTGTGTGTTGTTGTTTGCAGGGATGACATGTGTGTTGTTGTTTGCAGGGATGACATGTGTGTTGTTTGCAGGGATGACATGTGTGTTGTTGTTTGCAGGGATGACATGTGTGTTGTTGTTTGCAGGGATGACGTGTGTGTTGTTGTTTGCAGGGATGACGTGTGTTGTTTGCAGGGATGACATGTGTGTTGTTGTTTGCAGGGATGAGATGTGTGTTGTTTGCAGGGATGATGTGTGTGTTGTTGTTTGCAGGGATGATGTGTGTGTTGTTGTTTGCAGGGATGATGTGTGTGTTGTTGTTTGCAGGGATGAGATGTGTGTTGTTGTTTGCAGGGATGACGTGTGTGTTGTTGTTTGCAGGGATGATGTGTGTGTTGTTTGCAGGGATGACATGTGTGTTGTTGTTTGCAGGGATGACATGTGTGTTGTTTGCAGGGATGAGATGTGTGTTGTTGTTTGCAGGGATGACGTGTGTGTTGTTGTTTGCAGGGATGACGTGTGTGTTGTTGTTTGCAGGGATGACGTGTGTGTTGTTTGCAGGGATGACGTGTGTGTTGTTGTTTGCAGGGATGATGTGTGTGTTGTTTGCAGGGATGATGTGTGTGTTGTTGTTTGCAGGGATGACATGTGTGTTGTTGTTTGCAGGGATGATATGTGTGTTGTTTGCAGGGATGAGATGTGTGTTGTTGTTTGCAGGGATGACGTGTGTGTTGTTGTTTGCAGGGATGACGTGTGTGTTGTTGTTTGCAGGGATGATGTGTGTGTTGTTTGCAGGGATGATGTGTGTGTTGTTGTTTGCAGGGATGACATGTGTGTTGTTTGCAGGGATGACGTGTGTGTTGTTTGCAGGGATGATGTGTGTGTTGTTGTTTGCAGGGATGACGTGTGTGTTGTTTGCAGGGATGATGTGTGTGTTGTTTGCAGGGATGACATGTGTGTTGTTGTTTGCAGGGATGATGTGTGTGTTGTTTGCAGGGATGACGTGTGTGTTGTTGTTTGCAGGGATGATGTGTGTGTTGTTTGCAGGGATGACGTGTGTGTTGTTGTTTGCAGGGATGACGTGTGTGTTGTTTGCAGGGATGATGTGTGTGTTGTTGTTTGCACGGATGACATGTGTGTTGTTTGCAGGGATGATGTGTGTGTTGTTGTTTGCAGGGATAACGTGTGTGTTGTTGTTTGCAGGGATGATGTGTGTGTTGTTGTTTGCAGGGATGACATGTGTGTTGTTTGCAGGGATGAGATGTGTGTTGTTGTTTGCAGGGATAACGTGTGTGTTGTTGTTTGCAGGGATGATGTGTGTGTTGTTGTTTGCAGGGATGACGTGTGTGTTGTTTGCAGGGATGAGATGTGTGTTGTTGTTTGCAAGGATGACATGTGTGTTGTTTGCAGGGATGATGTGTGTGTTGTTGTTTGCAGGGATAACGTGTGTGTTGTTGTTTGCAGGGATGATGTGTGTGTTGTTGTTTGCAGGGATGACGTGTGTTGTTTGCAGGGATGAGATGTGTGTTGTTGTTTGCAGGGATGACGTGTGTGTTGTTTGCAGGGATGAGATGTGTGTTGTTGTTTGCAAGGATGACATGTGTGTTGTTTGCAGGGATGATGTGTGTGTTGTTGTTTGCAGGGATAACGTGTGTGTTGTTGTTTGCAGGGATGATGTGTGTGTTGTTGTTTGCAGGGATGACATGTGTGTTGTTTGCAGGGATGAGATGTGTGTTGTTGTTTGCAGGGATGATGTGTGTGTTGTTTGCAGGGATGATGTGTGTGTTGTTGTTTGCAGGGATGACATGTGTGTTGTTTGCAGGGATGATGTGTGTGTTGTTGTTTGCAGGGATGATGTGTGTGTTGTTGTTTGCAGGGATGATGTGTGTGTTGTTGTTTGCAGGGATGATGTGTGTGTTGTTGTTTGCAGGGATGATGTGTGTGTTGTTGTTTGCAGGGATGATGTGTGTGTTGTTGTTTGCAGGGATGATGTGTGTGTTGTTGTTTGCAGGGATGATGTGTGTGTTGTTGTTTGCAGGGATGATGTGTGTGTTGTTGTTTGCAGGGATGATGTGTGTGTTGTTGTTTGCAGGGATGATGTGTGTGTTGTTGTTTGCAGGGATGATGTGTGTGTTGTTGTTTGCAGGGATGATGTGTGTGTTGTTGTTTGCAGGGATGACATGTGTGTTGTTTGCAGGGATGAGATGTGTGTTGTTGTTTGCAGGGATGACGTGTGTGTTGTTTGCAGGGATGAGATGTGTGTTGTTGTTTGCAAGGATGACATGTGTGTTGTTTGCAGGGATGATGTGTGTGTTGTTGTTTGCAGGGATAACGTGTGTGTTGTTGTTTGCAGGGATGATGTGTGTGTTGTTGTTTGCAGGGATGACATGTGTGTTGTTTGCAGGGATGAGATGTGTGTTGTTGTTTGCAGGGATGATGTGTGTGTTGTTTGCAGGGATGATGTGTGTGTTGTTGTTTGCAGGGATGACATGTGTGTTGTTTGCAGGGATGACATGTGTGTTGTTTGCAGGGATGATGTGTGTGTTGTTGTTTGCAGGGATGATGTGTGTGTTGTTGTTTGCAGGGATGACCCCAAGGAGATGCCAGTGTTTCTGGCAGCAAATGCTGCCAAGACAAGCTTTACCCTCACACCAAGGGGAGACAACCTGTTTGCTGCTGTCAGGTATGTTACTTGATTACTCATCCAGACAAACATGGATTTAACCCACTCGTGACCAACTCGGGTAATTCTCAGTCACACCGAACAGCGACCCATGCCCCTCTCTTAGCTGTTTTTGCGACTGGGTTCCATATAAGCACAAACGGGCATTGCTAAAAGAATTGTCACCTTGTTGCATAACGATTCACATTTCTGTCATATGTCATATATAGTCCAGATGCTTTTGAAAACACATCAGGACTTAAGGCATGATACAGTATGATTGAGCACACTTAACTTTATTTTGGGTATTTTTTTAAATGCAAGACATATGTAAGATAAAAAATTATTCCTGAGGGATTCTTTGACCATAGTACTTGAAGTCAAATGCGAACACTGATTGGTTTGTCTTATTTTAGCACATGCCATTCATTGATAGGGGGACGAGACTTCTTGCAGGTTACAGAAAGTGATGAAGGCCAGTGGCAGCTCTTTTTTGTCCTTAATTCAGACAAATCCAAATATCAGTCACTCAAAAGAGGTGGATAAATCCCATGGAAGGTCAGGGTTTTTGTTTTTTGCATCATGGATCCAAAGACCCCATTTTCTTCAAACTTGGAAGAAGTAAAATAATCCAAATTTCCACTTTTTTATACGCAGTATTATTTTCAGATTACTTATCACCTATAAAACTTATGATGCTCAATTTGACTTAAGTATTAGTATTTGAAATTGTTCTCTGTTCAGCTGATGTTTGTGCTCTGTTCAGCTGATGTTTGTGCTCTGTTCAGCTGATGTTTGTGCTCTGTTCAGCTGATGTTAGTGCTCTATTCAGCTGATGTTTGTGCTCTGTTCAGCTGATGTTTGTGCTCTGTTCAGCTGATGTTTGTGCTCTATTCAGCTGATGTTTGTGCTCTGTTCAGCTAATGTTTGTGCTCTGTTCAGCTGATGTTTGTGCTCTATTCAGCTGATGTTAGTGGTCTGTTCAGCTGATGTTTGTGCTCTATTCAGCTGATGTTTGTGCTCTTTTCAGCTAATGTTTGTGCTCTGTTCAGCTGATGTTTGTGCTCTGTTCAGCTGATGTTTGTGCTCTGTTCAGCTGATGTTAGTGGTCTGTTCAGCTGATGTTTGTGCTCTATTCAGCTGATGTTTGTGCTCTGTTCAGCTGATGTTAGTGGTCTGTTCAGCTGATGTTTGTGGTCTGTTCAGCTGATGTTTGTGCTCTGTTCAGCTAATGTTTGTGCTCTGTTCAGCTGATGTTTGTGCTCTGTTCAGCTGATGTTAGTGGTCTGTTCAGCTTATGTTTGTGCTCTATTCAGCTGATGTTAGTGGTCTGTTCAGCTGATGTTTGTGCTCTGTTCAGCTGATGTTTGTGCTCTATTCAGCTGATGTTTGTGCTCTGTTCAGCTAATGTTTGTGCTCTGTTCAGCTGATGTTTGTGGTCTGTTCAGCTGATGTTAGTGGTGTGTTCAGCTGATGTTTGTGCTCTATTCAGCTGATGTTTGTGCTCTGTTCAGCTGATGTTTGTGCTCTATTCAGCTGATGTTTGTGCTCTGTTCAGCTAATGTTTGTGCTCTGTTCAGCTGATGTTTGTGCTCTATTCAGCTGATGTTAGTGGTCTGTTCAGCTGATGTTTGTGCTCTGTTCAGCTGATGTTTGTGCTCTGTTCAGCTAATGTTTGTGCTCTGTTCAGCTGATGTTTGTGCTCTATTCAGCTGATGTTAGTGGTCTGTTCAGCTGATGTTTGTGCTCTATTCAGCTGATGTTTGTGCTCTATTCAGCTGATGTTTGTGCTCTGTTCAGCTAATGTTTGTGCTCTGTTCAGCTGATGTTTGTGCTCTGTTCAGCTGATGTTTGTGGTCTGTTCAGCTGATGTTTGTGCTCTGTTCAGCTAATGTTTGTGCTCTGTTCAGCTGATGTTTGTGCTCTGTTCAGCTGATGTTTGTGGTCTGTTCAGCTTATGTTTGTGCTCTATTCAGCTGATGTTAGTGGTCTGTTCAGCTGATGTTTGTGCTCTGTTCAGCTGATGTTTGTGCTCTATTCAGCTGATTTTTGTGCTCTGTTCAGCTAATGTTTGTGCTCTGTTCAGCTGATGTTTGTGGTCTGTTCAGCTGATGTTAGTGGTCTGTTCAGCTGATGTTTGTGCTCTATTCAGCTGATGTTTGTGCTCTGTTCAGCTGATGTTTGTGCTCTGTTCAGCTGATGTTTGTGCTCTATTCAGCTGATGTTTGTGCTCTGTTCAGCTAATGTTTGTGCTCTGTTCAGCTGATGTTTGTGCTCTATTCAGCTGATGTTAGTGGTCTGTTCAGCTGATGTTTGTGCTCTGTTCAGCTGATGTTTGTGCTCTGTTCAGCTAATGTTTGTGCTCTGTTCAGCTAATGTTTGTGCTCTGTTCAGCTGATGTTTGTGCTCTGTTCAGCTAATGTTTGTGGTCTGTTCAGCTGATGTTTGTGCTCTGTTCAGCTGATGTTTGTGCTCTGTTCAGCTGATGTTAGTGGTCTGTTCAGCTGATGTTAGTGGTCTGTTCAGCTGATGTTTGTGCTCTGTTCAGCTAATGTTTGTGCTCTGTTCAGCTAATGTTTGTGCTCTGTTCAGCTGATGTTTGTGCTCTGTTCAGCTGATGTTAGTGGTCTGTTCAGCTGATGTTAGTGGTCTGTTCAGCTGATGTTTGTGCTCTGTTCAGCTGATGTTTGTGCTCTGTTCAGCTGATGTTTGTGCTCTATTCAGCTGATGTTTGTGCTCTGTTCAGCTTCTACATGAAGGAGAGACTGAAGGGGAAGGAGCTGGGTGGAGGGGACCGTAAGTGGCTGGAGGGTGTGTCCCAGAGGTTGGGGGAGCAGGCCGGGGTGCTGGAACTCTCTCTGGACACACGTACCAAGGCAATGAAGAGCCGACAGAAGAAGGTGGTCTGTGACAGCTTCCACGGTGCAGGCATCGTCGTCCCTGTCGATGAGAATGAGATCGGCTACAGACCAGTACCAGAAACTCCAGGTGAGAAATATAACATGTTTTCTGTTACTGTTCCTATGTTAACAGAGTGATGTACTTGGCTGTAAACTGTAGCAGGACACACATCTGTAGTGAGCAGTGTTTGAAATAGTTTTACAACCCATCAAGGCAGTAGGGCAGGTGATGCATCAGTGTTGCATGCCCATCTTTAAAGTTACGTACCCGCATTCAGACATTAATAATATTGAAAACTTCACAAAAAATAAGAGACAAATCGTATTTTGATTCAGTTGAAATAATGCAAACAACTACTTAAAAATAACAAGAGTCATCAGAAGATGACAATAGCAAAAGGCACCACTTCAACCTCTGGTTCATACATGTACCAAGTTTGGAAGAAGTTGGGCGGGCAGGCGGCAGGCGGCAGGTTGGCAGGCGGGTGGATAGGCAGGCAGGCAGTCGGGCAGGCGGTTAGTTATTTCAGGCCCTGGTTATGAGACCAGGAGTATTTACTGGTGCAGCATCCCCCTTGTCCTCCTTGACACCATTTCATCTGTGGATGCTCCCTCATCTGAAGCCATCCAACTGAGCGCAAGTCAGTTTGGTCAGTTTGAGATCAGTGGTCCTTTGACCATGACGAGAACTGGCCCAAGACGGAGATACTTTCAATGGTTTGGACCAAGGTCATTTCATACCTATCATAGGGAAACACAATAATGATGAATGAATGACGTTCATGATGGTGTATACTCACAAGTCTAGAGTAATATTGATGTCTGGCATACTACTGATCAATGTCATGTCACGGTCTGTTTGTCATGCGTCGTCTGTTGTAAACATCTCCTCCTCAGAAACCACTGGACCAGTGAAGCTGAATGTTGACATACTTGTTCCCACCAATGATGACACCCCAATTTGTTCAAGAGGTTCAAATCTGACATTCAGTGTCCACAGTAGTCATATTGAAAAATACTGTACGACCATTACTGAAAGCTGAAACTTCTTATGACCATTTCTCAGTCACCTTTCCTCAAAATGTAGCTAGTAGTGGGGCTCAACATGTGTGTTCCATTTGCTTTAGATTTGTAAATTTGGACCTTGATTTAACCTTTACTTTAAAGTAAAACTTGTTTTGTCCATTACTCCATGCTTGTACGAGTGATGTGACAGGTCAGTATGACGTCACGCTAACACACAAACTTCATTGTTTTAATATGTAAACGGGGGACGTCATGTAAACACTCATCCACATGGGCCATTTGATAACAAGGACATTAGTTTTCATGGTAATATAAACATCAAATGATTCCAAGACTTTTCAAGAAAAGCGTAGGTCTTTGTTTCAAAATCTACCTGCCATGTCACTTCACATCTTTAAAAAATGATACTGTGGAATGCCCACAATTTATGTTTTTATTCCAGTCCAACACAAATTAGTTCTGCGCTATTTTCTGGATGGGAACACAATATGTTTATCGTGATGAATAAGAGCAAAAAAACATAATATGTATCACGGCACCAATCGTGGTGTACGTTTTATCTGCAGTTTATGAAAAGCTTTTCTCACAATATAAATAGCAATCGTGATTTCAACAGTGTGTTTTTTTTACGTTGTGTTCGTCTTGCCTTCACCTGGAAATGTCATTGTGAGAACCTTGGTATTGGACACAAATCAATAAAACTTTGCAGGTCCCAGTGACCCAGATTCTCTATTGATTGGCATACCAAGTGTGATTTTCATAAGGCAACAATGTTGCTCTCAGATGCCCTTTTTTTTCCATCAACCATGAGCATCTGTCAATGTCAATGCCTCCACAATCTTCCTGGTCATTTCAACAATGTAATACACACAGCCTCACTCACGGCGTCATCACAAGATTCCTTCGAAATACCAACCCACGTGTTCAGGATTATAACCTTGGGATGAATAAATAAATTAATTTGCATTTTTAGGAGAGAAATGTTTTCGTGAATACTTTTATGTAAAAACATGCTGTACATGGTATTTTTAGATTGCACTGCAGATTTCTTCTAATTACTTTCTAAAACCTTTCTGACCAAGCGAAGTCCTAACAACCACACCTCATGAGCGCATCCGAGTTGGATTGCTGATTACAAATGTCAAGAACTTTGCAAGTTCACTTGTCTTCAGTATGAGCAACAAAACATTTTCGTGTGACGCTTAATTTGATCAGGGGAGCATTTGGTCATTTCGATTTTGACATAAATGACTTTATCGTTGAGAAAGTTCCAGTTCAAGATGACATCATTCCGACTGCTAACTCGAACCAACAAGATGGCGCCTCTCTTCCCACCCTGCAAGTGCAACAGAAACTTTGACAAATTCAGTGCCGATTCTTGGGATTAGTGTATCAGTGTCATGGCCAGATTTCATTGTGGAACCAGATGAAGCCGAATATGTCTGTTCACACTGCTTTTGTCGACCATGCGTTACACAGCACAGGCAATCGCAGTTAAGAAATGGTGCGGCCTCCATGTTTCAGAAATTTGTCGAATCGAAAACATTGCTACAGATACTTCAGGACTGAGCTAAATAGACAAAGTGTTTGGAGAGATCGTAGATACTCTGACTTGAAGAAACGGATATTAAATGTAGCAGCAGATGAAGGATTGGTGTGGACTGTAGCGTTATTGCTGTTCAGGTTAAAAACCCAGTCTAGGTTAGAGTTAGCTCCCCTATGTTTGCGTATTACGTCATGAGGGGATGTCATGATTTGTGTGGGGACTCGAGTGGACAACATGCTGGCTGACGCATGTAACTCCGTTTAATAAATCATACTCAAACGAACCCTAGTCTTAGTGTCAACGTAACACAACATGGACAAAACGGGAAGTGATGCCAGATTGTATTTTAGAACATGTGCGGGAAGTTTATCCAAATCCATCGAACAAAGAATACATGGGACACATGTGGATATAATGTTCAAACTTTTATGTGTGAAAATTATGTGAAAGAAATGAAATCTATAATCAAATTTGTCTTGGAATATGTGTATTGGAGTTTTGTTTATCATAAGTACAATATTATCTATTGTAGGTCAAAACATCTAGTATATTTCGTTATTTATTTATCAGTTGCTTATGTGCATTGTTATGTTGATACAATTGACATATTCATATATTGTAGTCAAGCTAAGCAATGTTGGCTCAACTTTTGGTTTTGCAAATTAGGTCTCTTCCTAAACACTTGTTGAAAATGAGTGAGAATGGTATTACACCACTTTTAGCAATATTCCAGCAATATCATGGTGGGGGACACCAGAAGTGGGCTTCACACATTGTATCCATTTCAGGGATCGAACCCAGGTCTTCGGCGTGACAAGCGAACGCTTTAACCACTAGACTACCCGGCTGCCCCACTTGTTTAAAAATCTGTGTAATGATTTGAGTTTTAGAAATATAATCTGATTATTTTGTCGTATAGATCTAACTGTTGAATGCAGTGACCATTTGTGGTTATCAAGGTTTGTCATTCAAGTTGATATAAAGTTTGACGAACAATGATGATCTTGTTAACATATGGTTATCAAAAGGCTTATCTCAACACTCGGTTGTGTTTACATTGTCAGTCACTGTTCGAAACTGAAATACCCCCACTTTGCGGGCTATTTATAGTCAGGGTGGGGCTTTAAAATATGATGACATTTGCAGTAGTGTGGAATTAGTGTTGAAGTGGTGCATAGCTTATATCATGTTTCAGTTGTTTGAAATATCATATACTTTGGCCTTGTTTGACCTTGCACTTAGATTCTCTCACAATGCATGTTTGCCTCCGTAAACTTCTCTGAAACTGCCAGACGGAGGGAGATGACTTTGGCCTTGTTTGACCTTGCACTTAGATTCTCTCACAATGCATGTTTGCCTCCGTAAACTTCTCTGAAACTGCCAGACGGAGGGAGATGACTTTGGCCTTGTTTGACCTTGCACTTAGATTCTCTCACAATGCATGTTTGCCTCTGTAATCTTCTCTGTAACTGCCAGACGGAGGGAGATGACTTTGGCCTTGTTTGACCTTGCACTTAGATTCTCTCACAATGCATGTTTGCCTCCGTAATCTTCTCTGTAACTGCCAGACGGAGGGAGATGACTTTGGCCTTGTTTGACCTTGCACTTAGATTCTCTCACAATGCATGTTTGCCTCCGTAAACTTCTCTGAAACTGCCAGACGGAGGGAGATGACTTTGGCCTTGTTTGACCTTGCACTTAGATTCTCTCACAATGCATGTTTGCCTCTGTAAACTTCTCTGTAACTGCCAGACGGAGGGAGATGACTTTGGCCTTGTTTGACCTTGCACTTAGATTCTCTCACAATGCATGTTTGCCTCCGTAAACTTCTCTGTAACTGCCAGACGGAGGGAGATGACTTTGGCCTTGTTTGACCTTGCACTTAGATTCTCTCACAATGCATGTTTGCCTCTGTAAACTTCTCTGTAACTGCCAGACGGAGGGAGATGACTTTGGCCTTGTTTGACCCTGCACTTAGATTCTCTCACAATGCATGTTTGCCTCCGTAAACTTCTCTGTAACTGCCAGACGGAGGGAGATGACTTTGGCCTTGTTTGACCCTGCACTTAGATTCTCTCACAATGCATGTTTGCCTCCGTAAACTTCTCTGAAACTGCCAGACGGAGGGAGATGACTTTGGCCTTGTTTGACCTTGCACTTAGATTCTCTCACAATGCATGTTTGCCTTCGTAAACTTCTCTGAAACTGCCGGACGGAGGGAGATGACTTTGGCCTTGTTTGACCCTGCACTTAGATTCTCTCACAATGCATGTTTGCCTCTGTAAACTTCTCTGTAACTGCCAGACGGAGGGAGATGACTTTGGCCTTGTTTGACCCTGCACTTAGATTCTCTCACAATGCATGTTTGCCTCCGTAAACTTCTCTGTAACTGCCAGACGGAGGGAGATGACTTTGGCCTTGTTTGACCCTGCACTTAGATTCTCTCACAATGCATGTTTGCCTCCGTAAACTTCTCTGAAACTGCCGGACGGAGGGAGATGACTTTGGCCTTGTTTGACCTTGCACTTAGATTCTCTCACAATGCATGTTTGCCTTCGTAAACTTCTCTGAAACTGCCGGACGGAGGGAGATGACTTTGGCCTTGTTTGACCCTGCACTTAGATTCTCTCACAATGCATGTTTGCCTCTGTAAACTTCTCTGTAACTGCCAGACGGAGGGAGATGACTTTGGCCTTGTTTGACCTTGCACTTAGATTCTCTCACAATGCATGTTTGCCTTCGTAAACTTCTCTGAAACTGCCGGACGGAGGGAGATGACTTTGGCCTTGTTTGACCCTGCACTTAGATTCTCTCACAATGCATGTTTGCCTTCGTATACTTCTCTGAAACTGCCAGACGGAGGGAAATGACTTTGGCATGTTGGTTTCAGTCCATTTGTTTGATTTGAGTGAAAGTTTTTAGTATTTAAGCAGAAGATATTTAAATATAAATTGTGACAGCAACTTTATCCTATGGTTGTCTTTGTTTCTGAACTTTGACTAAATATCCAGGTGAGCTACGGTGTATAGGCACTATTTTCTCATATAATGGTGCAGGCAAAATAATGTTTCACTTGAAACAAATTGCAACAGAATTTATTTCTTTCCAACTAGTATTTACATGAATGAAAACAAAACTTGTTATAGTGTTTATAGTCATGGGAATAAGTAGATACAGACAATAACAATCAACATGTCATCAAAGAGATAATTATTGATATTTGCTCGTTATATTGGATTTATGCAAATGATTGAGTATTCTGCATGCATTCTTGAAGCTCTTCAAATCACTCAAATATGTCATCAGAGACCAACAGTGTATTGATATTCCATGTCTATCCATCAGTCTCTTAGCAGCCATCTTGGAATTTGGGGGGCTCTGCCAATGGAGTTTCTTATCTAAAAGTGTAAACTATACTTCAGTGAGTTAGTGTGACAAGTTGTAAGCATATAAGTCCCAGCACTCTGTTTAAAGGCACACTGAGTTAAAAGATTCCAGTCTACACTCCTATTAGGAAAACTTGTCGGACATCTTGAAATTGACAGCTATCTTGAATTTTTGTAGATTTATCAATATTTGAAAACGTTCAGTAGTTGTGAACATCTTTTTAGAGAAACAATAATATTATTTTATGAAGAACATTTATGTATCAATGAGAAACTATTTTTATTCTTATTTTACTGTTAAACAATAAATATAAAACACCATTTAATTCCCACAGATTTAAGTATAGACATATACAAAAATCTGATGAAAAAATCACTGCAATATCAATATTACTGTACACAGGTATGAATGTAAAAGTTTTCTATAGTACTATTGCAGGAGTAGTTTTGACTATGTCAGTGCTTGTGGATAGTTATAATGCCCCCAACAGTCAACCCTAGAATAGCATACCTTGCCAAATAAGCATTAATCTTGTCAGTCTCACATCTTTTCTTTTGCTGTCCCAGGTGACCTGAAGAAGATCCTGAAGAAAATTGTGGAGGCACGGACGGAGACGGAGAGGAACAAGTTCTTCGACCCGCTGCAGGAGCTGATCACGCTGGTGCAGTTTGCCAATGATGAGTGCGACTACGGTGAGGGTCTTGAGCTGGGGATGGACCTGTTCAGCTTCGGTGGCAAGGTCTTCCACTCCACCATCCTCCATCTCCTTCCCCTTGCCTACCAACTACTTCGACGAACTCAGTATGCCAAGATCATCTCTACTCACTTGCGACACCGGCGACATACTGCTGACCTGAGTGAACTGGACTAGATGCTGAGTCACTGAAAGTAATGGGTTATGAGTGATCAAGATCTGTAAATTTGTATGATAAATTTTTAGAAACAGACAGACTTTCTGCTTCTTTTATGAAACTAAGAACACATTTTCTGAGTAGGATTGAGACTCTTTGTCTGCATATCAAGGAGAAGATAAGTGTTTTGCTGTCAGAGCAATCCTGGCAGATGTCAGGCTTTCTTGTGATTTACCCATTGTTTGAATACCCTACTACGTGAGAGGAGACTGGTAATGTGATGTTAATGTGATCTAGTCTCCGCAGCCTTCAGTACAAGATGTGGCAAGAAGAATTTCTAATGGCTCCTAAAAGCCAATATTTGGGCAAATGCAACATTCCAGCAATATCACAGCAGGGGACACCAAAATACGGCTTCACCCACTGACCCATGTGGGGAATCAGACCCGGATCTTTCGCGTGATGAGCGAACACTTCAACCACATGTTACCACACCACCCAACATTATATAGGAAGGGTACAGTGGCAGATTTGTCAAGCAAGGGTTCGGTCCTCGCTTTTTGTATTCTTCTTTTTCTGTTTGGCATTTAGTGGGGCTAAAGATATCTCGGGAGTAACTTAAAAAAGTATGGGGTGTCTCTTCTTACTTTTTGCAATATTTCTAATCAGATTGGGCATGTGTCGTCTACAAGGTGATGTGTCGCTTAAGAGCTACTGGCATGTTTCAAACTGATAGAGCTCAAGAAGGTTATCAATATGTTCAATGTGTCTCAGCCTGTTATTTGCAGACTAAGGAACAGTTTTTTGCAGAAACAAAATGTTAATGATCGGCCCCCACAGGTCAGTTGGTCAGAAACCAGGTTTTAAGAAATCAAGCCCAATCAAGTCGCTGTTCGGTTGCTCATGGTCAGGGGAAATCCTCTGGATGCAGCTATCTACACAGCGACCATATGTTGCACCACCTTATCAAATGGACACTTCTACAACATGCCAATGAACATAGGAATTGGGGTAATCGCTGATCGTCTCTAGTAATGTTTTCAGATGAGGTCAGATTCACTGGATATGCATGGACGTGTGTGGAAGCGTCCAAAAGAACGTCCTGCGAACGACTCTGTTATGATATGGGTCGGGATCACTATGCCTGCCAGAACACCATAGTATATTTATACATGGAAGCGTCTCTGGATAGTACTACCGGGACAACATACTGGCATCAATAGTTGTACAACCTGCATTCCATGCTGGTCCACGTATTGTCTTCAAGGTGATAACACTTGACTTGATATGGACTTGACTACTTGCACTTGTAACTAACCCACCTATCCATTCATAACCATAACTCAGCACCACCACTCAACACCAACCACCCCTCAACACCACCACTCAACACCAACCATCACTCAACACCACCACTCAACACCAACCACCACTCAACACCACCACTCAACACCACCACTCAACACCAACCAGCACTCAACACCACCACTCAACACCAACCACCACTCAACACCAACCAGCACTCAACACCAGCACTCAACACCAACCATCACTCAACACCACCACTCAACACCACCACTCAACACCACCCCTCAACACCATCACTCAACACCACCACTCAACACCACCACTCAACACTACCCTCAACACCACCACTCGACTCCACCACTCAACACCACCACTCATCACCAACCATCACTCAACACCACCTCTCAACACCACCACTCAACACTACCCTCAACACCATCACTCGACTCCACCCCTCAACTTCACCACTCATCACCAACCATCACTCAACACCACCAATCAACACCAACCACCACTCAACACCAACCACCACTCAACACATCACTCACCACCACCGAACACCAACCACCACTCAACACCATTACTCAACACCACCCCTCAACACCACCACTCAACACCAACTGTTCGGGAGAGGGTTTTAAAAACAAACGCTACCTACTTCGCAGAAACGCACATGTCCCAGCCATTATCAGAGCCAAGTGTACAAAACACACCCAGCTTCGCGGAAAGCACGTGCTTTCCGTGAAGATTTTGTTAATGACTGGGACATGGGAGTTTCTGGGAGTTTAGTTAGACAGGTGAGTTTGCAGAGTAAAGAGGTGTCGTAACAGTAGACAATAGAACAGTTGTTTGTGTTCGATTGGGGTAAATAAATGGGTTGCATTTTCATTGTTTTGGTTTTTCGTTAATAAACATTGGATATTCCTATATATCACCAACCATGACTCAACACCACCGCTTGACACCAACCACCACTCAACACCATCACTCAACACCATCAATCAACTCCACCACTCAACACCACCACTCAACACCAACCATCACTCAACACCAACCATCACTCAACACCACCACTCAACACCACCTCTCAAAACCACCACTCAACACAAACCATTACTCAACACCACCACTCAACACCAACCACCACTCAACACCACCACTCAACACCAACCACCCCTCAACACCACCACTCAACATCATCACTCAACTCCACCACTCAACACCACCACTCAACACCATCACTCAACACCATCACTTAACCAACCACCCCTCAACACCACCACTCAACACAATCACTCAACACAACCCCTCAACACCATCACTCAACACCACCACTCAACACCACCCCTCAACACCACCCTTCAACACCAACCAGCACTCAACATCATCACTCAACTCCACCACTCAACACGACCACTCAACACAACCACTCAACACCAACCATCACTCAACACCACCCCTCAACACAAACCAGCACTCAACACCATCACTTAACTCCACCACTCAACACCAACCACCACTCAACACCAACCATCACTCAACACCCCCACTCAACACCATCTCTCAACACCACCCCTCAACACCAACCACCACTCAACACCATCACTCAACACAACCCCTCAACACCATCACTCAACTCCACCACTCAACACCAACCAGCACTCAACACCATCACTCAACACGACCCCTCAACACCACCAGGTAACACCAACCAGCACTCAACACCATCACTCAACTCCACCACTAAACACCAACCACCACTCAACACCACCACTCAACGCCACCACTCAACACCAACCACCACTCAACACCATCACTCAACACAACCCCTCAACATCATCACTCAACTTCACCACTCAACACCAACCACCACTCAACACCATCATTCAACACCACCCCTCAACACCACCCCTCAACACCACCACTTAAAACCAACCAGCACTCAACACCATCACTCAAATCCATCACTGAACACCAACCAACACTCAACACCATCACTCAACACAACCCCTCAACATCATCACTCAACTCCACCACTCAACACCAACCACCACTCAACACCATTACTCAACACCACCCCTCGACACCACCACTCAACACCACCCCTTAACACCAACCAGCACTCAACACCATCACTCAAATCCATCACTGAACACCAACCAACACTCAACACCAGCACTCAACACCATCACTCAACACCGTCCTTCAACACCACCTCTTATTTGAAATACGTGTGTGCTTGTATTCTTTTTCAAAGATGCACTCAACGATTTCATATATAGTTGGTGTGGCTATATGAATATACATGTTTGAACAAACCAACTTCTAGTTAACATGAGGACATCCTTCTCAGCATCTTCCTCTCCATCTAACCCCTGCTCCTTGACTACGTCCACTACATCAGTGGGTAGTTTGCCTGTGTTGTTTAACTAAGTGTAGTGATGTTGGCATGGTGTGTAGTTGTTTTGGGAGAAACACAATAAACCACTCTCCTCGATTTTAGTTATTGCTTGTATATTTTCTTAAGGAGATGTATGTCGTGTATTCAAATGGATTCCAAGTCGTGTTCCTAATCACTTCAACAGGGTGTGACATATCGGCTTTGTTACTCATAAAATATGTCTCGAGTATGTTATAATATATTATCGTATACATATTATCATTCTAATATATCTGAATGATTTGTTTGTTTGTTTGTTTGTTTAATGCCGCACTCAGCAATATTCCAGCTATATAAATAATCGAGTTTGGACCAGACAATCAAGTAATTGACATCATAAGTGTCGATCTACGCAATTGGGATACGATGACCTGCATCAACCAAGTCAGCGAACCTGACCGTCCGATCCCGTTAGTCGCCTCTTACGACAAACGCAGTGGTCTTTTGCAACAAGAATGGGTTGCTGAAGACCTATTCTACCCCGGATCTTCAGGATTAATATCGGAATGAATGTTTAAGATCAAGATGAGCAAGTACATCCAGCAGCAGACGTATTTTGAAAGGTATATACTGTGGCAATTTGTTCATTAAAGATATATCCCCATTTATTTTTAGTATTGATATGTTATAAAATTTAATGTTAACGGAGAAATACTAATGCATAATTTGCGGATATCAGTTCTCGTCAGTTCTAAGTTCGATTCCCCACATGGGTACAAAGTGTGAAGCTCATGTCTGGTGCCCCCTGTGGTGATATTGCACGATAGTGCACTTCAATATCGGAGGTTAAAATATCTCAGCAAGTCTATGCAAGATTGCCTGCACCCGGATTCCTGGATTTAATCCCCCCCTATGTTCTTAAGGAGCATGTCTGAAGGTTACGTGTTATCGCAGCTCTGACGATACATTGTTTAGTTGCCAGCTCCACCGTGTTTTGCTGAATTGACCTGTGGTTCACTGCTCAGTGGCAGTCTATTGCGGAAGTGCACGACGTCACCTTTAACTCGCTTATTGCTCAGTAAACGTAAGGTAGCCGAGAACAGTGGAATGCTTCAACTGCTCCATGAAGTTTCCTTCTCATAGTCACAGGTAGGTTGGGGCTGGATACTCGAGGTGATACCAGGAAGTCTACAGAAAAGGTAGGCAGTGTATTTCAAAGGTGAAAACTACCGAGAAAGAAGATAGGGTTTTTAATTTTAAAAAAACCCGCGACGAAACCCTTTCCATATTCAGAAGAAATCCATTAGCATGTGTTTATGATTCACTGTCAAATAGTTTGTAAATATTTCGTTTGTCATGCTGTTGCTTGGTGTTTGCGAAAAGATGAACGCATACTGCTCCAATTGTGACACCCATCACAAACACATGCAAAGGAAAGTTAATTGTTCATCTGAAAAAGACGGGAACCTTTAATGTAACTTAGGGAATTGCATCGGACATTATTTTTGGCACTGATGCATCACAATTGGAAATGCCCTCCACATGTCTACCTTTACACGTTTTGAAAGCTTTACTTAGGCTTTGAATGTGACCCTGATCGAACATGATTTGAGCAAGTGTGGTATGACGCTCTTTAAAATCTTCCTAGAAAGAGCCTGCTCGAATGTACCAAACAAGTTGTGAAATGTAGACCCCCAAGGCTGGAGCTGCTGCACAATCAGTGCTCATGGGCGTGCCTAACTCTGCCTAAATATCCTATCCCCAAATTTTACATACATGTTACCAATGAGGACTTTCATCACTTCACATTGTGTCCTCAAAGCACCCCTCTGATCACTTCCGTCCCCATCCTCAACACATGTCCTAAAACCCCGAAGACTGAGATGCAATCACATCTATGTTAATCACGATTAGTGACAAATGGATTTGTCTGGAGCTTTTGAATCCAGTATAAACGAGAATGGACGAGTTTTATATTAGAGTGAAGCCAAACGTTGATAATACATATGCGTGGTTTGGGCACATTTATCTAACGAAGTTATTTGTTGTATTTAACATTGTCACCGTTTATATATCATAAAGTCATTTCATGAACACAGCCATATGAATGATGTTTGCTATACTATCAACTATTAAAGGTGTCGGTCCCGTGGGTTCCGTCGGCTCTGTTGGGCAGTCTGTATCAGTGTCAGTGAAAAGTAATCAATAACTCCACGGGACGTCAGTTTGACAAATGTTTTTATATTGTTAAAGATTAAAACTATCAAAACACTCTCCACAAGACTGTATGACAAGAGGGATGACTTCAACTTTCCAATTGTCAACTGTCCCCTTTGTGTCCAGTTATACTCCTGCAGCGTCAGTCCTTGGTGTCCAGTTATACTCCTGCAGCGTCAGTCCTTGGTGTCTACATTTCACAATCCAACATGCCCTCCCTACCAAGATTTCAAAACGCATCATACAATTCTTGCTCACAAGTTGTTTGACAAGTTGCTACCGCTAAACAAAGTTCTGAGGACATCCCAGTTGGGGTCACGTCAGAACGACCTTTCAATCGACCAATCACAGCGTCGCTTACGTATCATGAAAGTGACAGTCGGAATGTGATTTCTAATCATGCATCCTCGAAAACTTTAACACGGGGTATTCCGAACGATAGTTACAGGTTAAACGACTGAATCCATACTATCTAGACCATCTATTAGCGATTTCAGAATTTTCTTTTGTTCAGGTTTCAAATTTTTAATCGAGAATTTGTCAAAATATGTTTCGAAGCGTTGTAGCCAATTAGAAAATAGTGCCGTAAAGCACGAGAAAGCTGCTTTCTGATTGGTCATTCCATTGGTCGGTCAAAGTTCGCGCAAGGTCGGTCTGACGTGACCCGTAACGGGATGTCCTCAGATCTTTGTTTAGCGGTAGCGAGAACTAAGATCTGATTTTAATGATTCTATCACAGATGATAAAATAACAGATGCCGAACTAAATGGTCAAAATGAACCAGGTATCAACAAAGAGGTTCACGCAGAGGGTATTAACAATGATATATCTACCATATAAAAGCTCAACAAATATTTTGAAAGACATATTCAATATAACCCTGATGTAGATGTTATAGTGAATTCAACATAAAACATATCATGCCCACAATGTATCTGGTACACTTTGTCAACAAATAATCCTCAGAAAGACTTTGATGTTAATGTACTAAGCAAGGCAAATGAAAACACAGATGGTGTTTACAATGTTTATGATACAATGGACTCTGTGAATATTTTGAATAACCATGTTTCCTCAGAAAAGGTAAACACTTATACTGATGTAAATATTTTCACTCAAACATACACAAACACAGATGTACCTAATAACATTAATGTCACAGATGTCCTGAACTATCCCACCTGTACCCCAGTTACTTTTAACAGAGTTCATGAAGAAAGTGTTTCATGTAAACCAATGGCAAACACATTTGTTCCTAATAATGTAAATGCTGCAGGTCATGACTCAGAGTTTACTTGTAATTGTGATATTTATGTCAATGTTGATGATGATGATGATGATGATGATAGCGATTTTGTTGTTTTAACCCAATCAATTGCACACAAATATGCTGATAAAATATGTCACGGTATGCTTGTTGCAGTAGCTTTGGATAATCACACTTGTATCACAGCTGATAAAATAACAGATGTCCCAAATAACTAATCACATTCTGAGGTAAATATCTTAAGTCAAACAACTGTAAACACTAATGTTCTCGACCAAGTACTTGATAACGTGAACGTTTCAAATGTACTGATTAATTGTGCTCATGCTGTATGTAATCTTGACAATTGTTCTGATGTAGATGTAATAGTGAATTCAACAGAAAACACAAATCATGCCCACAATGTTTCTGGTATTCTGAATACCATAGATCACACTCTGTCAACAAATAATCCTCAGAAAGACTTTGATGTCAATGTACTAAGCAAGGCAAATGAAAACACAGATGGTGTTCACAATGTTTATGATACAATGGAATATTTTGAATAACCATGTTTCCTCAGATAGGGAAAATATTTTTACTGTACCCCAGTTATTTTTAACACAGTCCATAAAGCAAAGATTTCATGTAAATTATTGAAAAACAAATCTGTACTTGATAATATAAATGCCGTAAATCATGGTTCTGAATTTGCTAGTAATTGTGATAATGCTGCCAATGCTGTTGCAGATGATGTTGTTGTTGATGAATATTGCGATGATGACGACGACGACAACGATGATGATGATGATGATGATGATGATGATCATCATCATCATGGTGACTGTACTGATCATTACCAAAATAATAGTCTTAATTTCTTAAGTCTAAATGTATGTGGCCTCAGACATACTTAGAAAATAAGGAATTTCTTTACCTAATCGCTTAAAGAGATATAATTGGATTTCAAGAAACGAAAACAAACAGTTTGGATGAGTTAAATATACCCGGGTATACTCTTTTTCTTCAGAATAGGTTGGGTACTGTAAAGCAATCAAGAGGTATAGATGTAGCATATAAAAGTAAATATGGAGATTATATATCCGTAGCTGGAGAAGAATGCGATTACATTCTTTGGACTAAAGTATGTAAAAAAACTATTTAGTTTGATCAGGATCTGTACTTGGGGACTGTTTATATCCCACCCGAAGGATCAAAGTATATCGCAAACGATATGTTTTATGAAATTGAGCAATCAATAATTAATATTATGTCAAAAAAGTGAGTATGTCACTTAACTGGGGACTTTAATGCCAGGACAAATAATCTATGCGAATACGAAATTCTTGATGAATACATAATTGAAGAATTTAATTTGGTAATGGATTAAATTAGATCAGAACTTAACCCTGAATCTGTGCTCGATGAACTTGGGTTGCCACGCGTGAGAGCAACACAGAACAAAACAAGAATAAATAACTTTGGCTTTAAACCTATTGAAATCTGTAAAAATTTAAATCTGTTTATTGGTAATGGCAGGCTAGGAAATGATCAAATGACATGTAAAACAACATGTAAAGATAAAAGTGTTATCGACTATGTTATTGTATCTCATATGTGCCTTCCGCTCTTTTCTGATTTTGATATAATTGACTACTCACCCCTCTACACAGACGTGCACTGCCCACTCACCTATAGTCAATCCTGTAAGTAATCCATGTAAAGGCCTACCGCGCATCTATACAAATACCGCTAACAAACCTAAACATTACAAACTTGATAAATCTGATATATACATAAAGCATATAAATGTTGAACAGATAAATAAACTGATGAAGACTGTGCACGAAGCACGGACAGGTCACGGCGACCCGTCGAGTGTAAACAGACTCGCAAATGAAATCGCGCACGTGCTTGTTAACACTGCATGATCAACATTCGGAGTCAGAGAAAACAGTGTTAAATACAGACAACGCGAAAAAGGTAGTAGTATAGGTAATGGTGATTCTGGCTCACTTCCACTGGAGCCGGATTTATATACCTATACCACCACTACAGGTGGAATTTTTTATGCAAAAATGATGATGCGATTCAACGATAGTCATGAGATTAAGTTAAATTGGCTCTAGCTCACTACCACCTGGAGTCAATCAATGCTTCTATGATATTCAACGATAATCATGAGTCATATTAAAAGAAACATCAATATTAATTAATAATGATTAAAATTTACTATAGCCCACGAGGATATTGGAAAGGTAAAGGAGCAATAAAAAAATTAGCCACTGCGGCTAAGGTATCTAAAGATGTGGCCAAGGATTGGTTAAAGAAACAAGCGATGTGGCAAATATACCTACCAGCACCGCGTTTTATACCGAGGAAGATGTTTGATATTTTTACTAAGAATGAAGTTCATCAGGCTGACCTCTTGTTTATTCCCCATGATAAGGTAAGACGCAAAACGTATAAATACGCTTTAACCGTAGTGGATGTGGCTAGTCAATACAAAGAGGCTGAGCCATTAACCTCGAAAGATTCAACAGAAGTAGCTAATGCACTGAGTCGTATATATAAACGTTGACCACTAAAATGGCCTAAGCTATTTCAAGTAGATCCTGGTCGCGAGTTTATGGGATCAATAACTAAACTGTTAACAAAGCACGATGTCGAAATCAGGCATGGCGAAAAAGAGGCCCACCGTATTCAAGCTATGGTCGAAAGATTTAACCGGACATT